TTATAATTATGGATATTTTATATAATGAATTTAATACATACAAAAGTTTTTCAATTAGACCATAACCTTTTAAAGTTATGAAGTAGAAAATCGCAAATAAATAAATAATGTAATCTTTATCATTTTTGCAAGATTTGAAAACATCACTTCAGATAGTTTATATCACTCACGAGTCTTGCGTCATGGATTGAGTCTTGCGTCATGAATTGCATCTTGCGTCACGAATTGCGTCTGCGTCTTGCGTCTGCGTCAATGCGTCTCACACTAAACTAATTGCGTCACATGACTTTTAATTTTGACAACATGTATACGTCTCACACTAAACTAATTGCATCACATGACTTTTAATTTTGACGACATGTACAGATATAAGCCTTGTCAACTTTTTTTACAACATCCCTAAGCACAGGCAAAATATCTGATCATTCTTGCCTAGTTATTTCTTTGAAGTTTTCTGCATGGTGTTTGGTGCACAGTGCTACATGACCTTTGGAATTTTGTCTCAAAACCACACCAGCACTTATATACTTTGAGTGAGAGACTTGAGATTTAAGCATTCCTTTTTTCTGTATTTCCATTTTATCACACATATGGCAAATTATTTCACTTCCTTCAGCACTTTTGGGACAAATATAACTAGGAGTGTTATCATCTTTTCAAGTAAAGTGATTGTTTTGTTTACCTCTTGCAATTTGGCTGTGACAATTACAACATTGGGAACATTTGTGTCCTCTACTGTCTTCATAAGCAGTGACATCTCAATCCAACATAATTTTGCATTGTGGACACCAAATAGTTACTCTATCTCATATTCCACTTCCTTTTTGATTAAGAATTCTTATTCTAAAAGGTCAGTCAAAATTTTCTTTATTTTTAACCTTAGTTCAGGTTTCTCTAAAGATTTTCTTTTTGTTTCTTTCTCAATCAGCAGTTTTTTCATCTAATTCTTTTTGAATTATGTTTTTGAGAACAATCTCAACAACAAAATTCAATATGTTCTCTATTTTCTTCATCTCATCAATTAATCTCTAAACCTTCTTTGGTATTTTTACAATTAAAACATTCTTTTTTGGTCATGATATTTTTATTTATTTAAACTTTTTATAAGAAGTTTTACAAAAAAAAAAAATCAATGTTCAATCATGAGAGAGAACTCTTTAAATCATGGTTGGAGTAGAACATTAGTATTGGTTTTATAAATCTAATTACTTATTGAGAAAATACCAAAAAGGAAAATATAAAATAAATAATAAATTTGTTCCTATTATTTTCCTTCTAGTGATCTTGGCTTTTTGATGGGTAATAATGCATCATCATGATGCTTTCTTTTTCTAACATTTATTATTTTTCTTTCTTCTTGGTAAATTTCATAGGTAATCCTTTCTTTTCTTAGATAAGCTTCCAGTGTCTGAATATCATTTATTTTGAAAATGTAAGGAGCAATTTTTTCACCTTGTTCTTTCTTCAAAATACTCTAATGGTGCTATAATTTTTGGGTTCCATAGTAGATCTGATATAAATGAGTTTCATATTAACTATTTTGTCTATCATGATCACACTATATTTGTAACACAATTGTGATGTTAAACAAACACTATTGATCCCTGAAATCCTTAATACCAATGTTCACTTTGTCTGGTTTTGTTGCAGTATGCCCATATAAGATAAAAAAAGTATAGTGTCACCGATTAAATTCGGGATAGCGTATTTTAATTGGTGATAACAATTATTTTTGTTTTTGCGTGGATCAGAATGAATAAGGGATCAACGAATTGATTTTGTTATTAGCGAATAATTTTGGGTAAAGAAGATAATAGTTTATTTAAATAAAATATTACTATTTTATTTATTTAGTTTTCTTAGTCGAAATTAATTAACTTGTTAGAAAGTTACTTTACAAGTACATTGAATTCAAGCTCCTTATATACAATTCAATTAATTAGTAATTCTAATATTTCAAAATTGAAATTTCCGTTCAATATTGTAATAATATTTCAAAATTATAACAATATTTCATTGAAACGATATTTCAAAATCGCGGTAATATTTCAAAGTTGAAATATTGGAAAGACGATTCTTCCTTAATAAAGTTAAATAAATTACGACGTTATACAAATAATTAATAGAAATAAAAATAGAAATAAAAATAGAAATAAAAATAAAAAATAAAAATAAACGTATTACGAAAATAGATGTAACACGGATAAAATAATAGAAATAAATAAAGTATAACAATAATAAAAATTAAGAATTTCGGAATTAGTTAAATTCGGCCAAAAGAGCGTCCAAATCTAATTCCGGTAACAGTAGTAACTTTTTTCGTCAATTTTCCCTCATCGATCATTATATAATAGTAGTACTGGTTCGTCAATTAAAATATCATGTAACAGCTGCAACCAATGAAATTTGTTCTCTCTATAAATACACCCTCCATAAATGCACGCTGTTCCTCGGTCCCAAGGGGGGTATCACAAAAATCAAGTGAAAATAATCAATCAATGCATTGCAACATAATAATTCGTTTATTTTTATTACTTGTCTAAATTCAAAGAAATTTCTTCTAAAAATTTTTCTTTCTTTCGTCAGGACTGATTAGATCGACAAGAGGATTGATTCCACAGCTTATTTTCACCAAAATCCAATTATATTGGTATACTTAACAACATATAATATAGAGTTTATATAATATATATCTTGATTACCAAGGACCAAAATTTTTTTGATAAATGATAGTTAGAAATGTTATTTATTTATTATTGCTTGAATTATCTATATTGGTTTTATTTTTTATGTTACGCGTTAATTTAAAATGTTGATCATCACAAATTTGGATGTTATGACAAATTTAGAGAACTTTGTTATTAATAAAAAAAAAATCCAATTCCGCTCAGGAAAAGTTATTTTCCACTCAGGAAAGAACAAAAATAACAGAATATTTGTGGTGGTGTTATATAATCTGTGCAGCGCTACTTTTCCAAGTGGTACTTTTTCGATTTACAATACTCTTCACATATAAATTGTTGATCTTTTTTTGTAAATGTGTGTAACGCCGATATATCCATAAAAAGATTTTGAGGGATGACGACAGTTTTGGACTTTCCAGAAACCAAGGAGTTGTCCCCCATTTATTTACTTTACCCCTAGATAATAGTATATATATATAACAATAACAATGTGCGATCTGATTACTTTATTGGGAAATTTATGTAACGTAACTTGAAAAAATTTTAATTAATAGTAATTTTTAAATTTTTACGTTCAATTTTTTTCATTCATAAATATAATTAATGAAAAGATATCTTTAATTTATTAAATAACACAATAATAATAATAAATATACTGAAATATGGTAGACATTGCATTAAATATAGCTGATGAGTATTTTTTTGATGACTTTTATACGCGTTTTTTCCCGCCAGTTTCAATGAATGTCACCTCTTCATTTGAAGACAACACTTTCTTCCAACGCCATTCATTTCCTCGTGATAATATATACAGACAATTTTTATCGTTAAATATTATCACCAATTTTTTTGCATATTTTTTCTATTTCTTTTTTGCATCTTTATCATATTTTTTTGTATTTGATAAAGAATTAATGAACCACCCAAAATTCTTAAAAAATCAAATAAGAAAAGAACTGACATTATCAGTTACTGGCTTCCCAATTACAACTTTTTTCACTGTGCCTTGGTTTGTTGGTGAGGTTCGAGGATACTCTAGATTATATGAGAATGTAGATGATTATGGGTGGTTGTATATTCCAATATCTGCACTTTTATTTTTATTCTTTACTGACATGTGTATATATTGGATACATCGTTGGATACATCATCCACTCATATATAAACATTTACATAAGGTAATTGTGGATTTCAGAAGATATTTATTTAGAAAACTATTGTGATTTTTTTCATTAAACTTTAATTATTTAATTATTTTCATTATTTTTGTAGCCACATCATCGGTGGATAAGTAAGAGATATAATTAGTTCTTTTTTATTATAATTATATTAATTATTAATTAATCCATTGGAGGGAAATATTTTGTTAATTATTTTTAAAAATACATTCTAAATTTCTAGTACCAACTCCATATTCCTCTCATGCTTTTCATCCATTAGATGGCTATGTACAGTCTGTTCCGTATCATTTATTTATTTACATATTTCCTTTGCAAAAGTATATTTATATAGTCTCATTTGTATTTGTCAATTTATGGACAGTAATGATTCATGATGGTAAATAATATATTATTATATGATTAAATAATAATTTTATAGTTGTTATTAATCATAAGATTATTAATTTTATGATGATTTAGGTGCTTACCTTTCTTCAGGTACATTTATTAACGGAGCAGCACATCATGCTCTTCATCACCTATATTTTAATTATAATTATGGACAATATTTTACTATTTGGGATAAAATTGGTAATAGTCATCGTTTACCTGGTGAGGAGCAATATGATATCAACAAAAGAAAGGATGGAAAGATTTGGCAAAAACAAGCAAAAGAAGTTGATGGTTTTGATGAAACAGTCTGTTCCGTATCATTTATTTATTTACATATTTCCTTTGCAAAAGTATATTTATATAGTCTCATTTGTATTTGTCAATTTATGGACAGTAATGATTCATGATGGTAAATAATATATTATTATATGATTAAATAATAATTTTATAGTTGTTATTAATCATAAGATTATTAATTTTATGATGATTTAGGTGCTTACCTTTCTTCAGGTACATTTATTAACGGAGCAGCACATCATGCTCTTCATCACCTATATTTTAATTATAATTATGGACAATATTTTACTATTTGGGATAAAATTGGTAATAGTCATCGTTTACCTGGTGAGGAGCAATATGATATCAACAAAAGAAAGGATGGAAAGATTTGGCAAAAACAAGCAAAAGAAGTTGATGGTTTTGATGAAAATGGTAAAGAAAAAAAACTAAGCAAAAAAAGCATCAAAAAAAAACATTTATAATACACAAGCACATATATACAATTTTACCTATATTAAATTAATCAAGTAGATTTGATATTAAACTTCTCAAGTAGAATTAACTGTAATAATTATTATTTATAACAAAAAGACTCTTTGATAGATTATTATTATTAATATCATAAAAAATAGTTTTATTTGTCTCTTGTCATCAAAAACATCATTGAAAAATTAAAAATTTATCATCATCATTCTATTATTTTTTTTACCAATCGTCATTAACTCACTTATTACCATTCATTTATTAACGCCCACACTTCCTCCTCAAACACAGCCAATGCCAATGGTTATATTTTAGTAAAAAATTTTTTATAAGATTTATCTTTTTAACCCCCCCCCCCCCCATGAGGCAAAATCACATATATCCTGTAATAATAATTCTCACAGGGTTGGAAAAAATTTAAATTTGCCTTCATTTGCTTTTAATGTATCATCCAATAATAGTGGAAGAGAACCTGGTAAGATGAAATACCATGTACTATTTCCTTGAATCCAAATTATTAGATCTTTATCATTTTAAGATATGTATTCTCATTCAAAAAAATTGCAATTAATAATGACACTTAGAGATAATATATTTATATTGTATAGTATTGTACTGTATGGTAATTTTATATTTTAAAAATTGAGATTATATATAGATGAAATCTTCAATGTCGAAACATAGTAATAGTAGTACTGAGTATGTATGTATCTTAAATATTTTCCATGCGGTGAATATAAAGTAGTAATATTAATGTAATTTAATGTAGAGATATAAATTGATAATTTGGGATTATGTATGCTAAAGATAATGCCACAAAAAATATTGGAGCTCAAAGCAATGAAAATTTGCTTAACTTTTCTTTTGAGTCTCTTTTTAGTTTGTAACTATACTCAAAGTTATCAGTGCTTAAGATTTTCCCAGCAATTAATTTTCTTGCTTTCCACGACAAATTGATCTGTTTTTGTTGGCTTTACATCAGATGAATTAGGGTTCAATTCCAAATACTTTATCCAAAGCGAACTCGATTTGAAAATTTTTAGCATCAAGTTATTTGCAAAAGCTTGCTTATAGATTTGACTTCAAGTCATAGTATCTACCTTTTTGATTTCAATTGGCAAATGCTTGTTTGCTGATGGTAATAATGCGGGCTTTATTAAAGCTATATCCTTAGCAATGGTTTTATTTGTTTGACCAATTATTCCCTAGTTATTTTGCAATCAATTCTGGCGTTTTGCTCAGAAAATGCCATGATCTTTCTTGTAATTAGGACATAAAAATGTGACCACTTATTCCTCCTGTAGGAATTTCAAGATTAGGACAATAATCTTATTAACAGTCTCTTGCAAAAGAGAAGCAGGCTATTTTTCATTTATTTGGTTCTACTTCTCTTATATTATTCTTTTTGTTCCAAAAGTTGTAGTGAACCTTGGTAGAGGAAAATCTACTTTTCACAGAAACTGCAAAATTTCATCCTTGCTGTGAAATATTACTTTCTTCAGTCAACACTCATTGAATTGGTTGGCAAACAAGACAAATTTATAAAATTCGTCAGCATTATTTAGAATAAAAATCGGTATGATGTATCTACTATAATAATAATAATAATAATAATAATTAGTTTACCTTGATTTGACATATTTGACGTATTGGCGTATTTTTAAATTAATTATTATTATTATAATAAATTTATATCCAGCCTTTTGAATGGAGGAATCATGTTAATATGGGGTATTCATGACTAGAACTAGCTGGAGGATTATGAAATACAAATCAGATAAAATCTATTATGTGTTTTTCTATTTTAAATAATTGAATTTGAACAGTCACACAATATAAAAAAGATCACCAATCAATTTTGTCACATGTGACAAATTCAAATGTCCACTATACACTTTTACTTATCTTCCCCTCAGACCAGGCTTGGCTGTTATCATATGAGCATTGATTGCTGATGAGAGTTGACATTTATGATGCTTGCTTTGTGTTATACCCCTCACTCACTAGAATAAAGTTGGTGTTAAGACTGGCTTGAAAATTCTTCAACTAGAAGGTTGCAACCTGGGTTGTTGTTTTGGATTCAGAGTTTTGAGTCTTGGGTTGCTGTAATTTTTTATGAAAAGAAAAGTATTTATATTTAACAATTAATTATTTAAATGTTTATTTTGTTGAAAAAAATATACATTGATAGTGTACATTTTCTGTGCTTAACATTCATGTGACCCTAAGTCTGGACAAAAGATCCCTTTCTATTAGTTTGGCTGGTATATCTCAAAGGAGTCTCCTGTCTTGTCAGTGGCATGTATGCTCACCAACGGCCCCACTCCCATTAAAAAACAAATTCAGTTGGTCAAATAAAAATTAAAGAAAAGCAGAAAATTTATGAAAATGATTAATTCACTGTATAACATAACATACCAAACAAAATCCGAACCATTTTTATGACTTTTTTCTTGTTAGCCATATTGCTGACAAAGATGTATATAATCATGTGATAAATTTAATCTACGGGACGGGAGATTGATTGGGCAAAAACTCCATTCAGTTCCTACCCAAAATTATTAAATTGGTTAGTATCAGAGAAACAGAGCATTTATGAAAATGATTATACAAAACAAACACTATTTTACAACTTTCCTCCTAACATCAGAATCCAAATGCAATTTCAGGGCCACCAACCCTGCTCTGAATTGCGACCTCCTGTGCTGGAAACGAGCTGCAGATTCTCTTAATATTCATCAGCAGAGTTGCGACTTGGTCACAGTGCCATCCTTGCCCTAGAGGCGGATCGTTGCAGGCAACTTTTCGACCAGCATACCAGCAGCCATCTCTGGTCTGGGAGGATTAGTGAAAACGTCATTGACGATTGATGCAGTCTTGGTAAACTCCAGGACATGTCCACCCCCCCCTGGAATTCAGTTGCATCATTGTATCATTGGGGGACACTAGTCAGATTAGCCTTTGTACATGAGGAAGATGTGAGAATGACTGTAGTGTTCAAGGTAGCGTGCGTGCTTCAACGCCTGCTATTTTCCTGTAATCAAACATCACATATTTGAATTGTTTCTTTTTCAACGGTGTGCTGCCTTGACATCTTGTAATTATAATATTAATAATAATATTATTGATTAATATTATTATTGATTACGAGAAGTAAAATATTATCAAAGAAAATCTTGTAATTACCCAGCAAGATCTGCTCCGCGTTTTGATTTCCGATTAAAATGTTTATAATAACCAAAAATATCAATACAAGTAAAAAATAGTACCTCTGGTTAGTTATTAACACATTTCTTTAGGGACTAAAACCAAACCAAACAACAACACTCACATTTTGTCACCTTGGGCTCTGTCAAAAAATAAATTGTTTTTTGTTTTTCCAAAATAAAAATCAATTCGCGTCTGTCCTACCAAAAAAAAAAAAAAAACCAATAGGATAAATAATTAGTGTGTACATGTCGATCAAATAACAAAACTTTTTTTTATCCTTTAAAAACAAAATGTCAGACAGATTTAAAAACACGAAAAAAAGAAACAAAAGCGATAAAGAAAAAAATATCACTGGGTAAGTGTTTTAAGAATAAGGATGGTGGTAGTGTTTATCGCCTGCCACTCGTCGTTACTTTAGTTATCATTTAAGAAATAAATGTTTTAGTTTACTAAGATTTCGACTTTTATCAGAACTATCACTACCAACAACGACCTAATTACCCAGCTTGAAACATGTATAAAAGAGAATAAAAGGCTTAGGATCGAAATTGAGGAGAAAAAAGTTGGAATGGTGGAATTATCAGAAAAAAGCTGTGAAGTAAAAAGTAATTTTTTAACCACTAAAGAAAAAATTGCAAATCTTGATTCGCAGATCACGAAGAAATATCAGGAATTGGAGATATTAAATGATAGAATCAAAAAAGATCGCAACGAACTGACTAGTCTCAAAGAGGCTGAAGAATCTATGGCTAGGGAATCGATCGTAATTGGGGAGAAAATTAAAAAAGAAAAAATGTTTATCAAAGATTTGAACACAGAATTTTTTAAAAATGAAAACACTCGTCACCGCCTACACAACGCCATTCAAGATATAAAAGGAAAAATTCGCGTTTTTTGCAGAGTTCGTCCACAAACTCCTGCTGAGAAAGATGTCCCTCTTATTGAGATCAAGTACCCAGGGGAATGTGAAAGCAAAAAAATCATGATTGGTTCTGTTGTGAAAGATTACCTAAACAAAAAGAAAAATATTTTCAAGGAATACAAATTTGATCATGTTTTCAAACCTGATAGCACTCAAGGACAAGTATACGCTGAGGTCGCTGCTGACGTTGTCCAATCGGTGGTCGATGGGTACAATTGTTGCATTTTTGCTTATGGTCAAACAGGTGCGGGGAAAACTTACACAATGCAAGGTTCTGATGATACTCCGGAAAGTGAGGGTATGATCACAAGAGCGTTCACACACATCTTTGGCCTCATCAACAAATTGAATTTTCAGGGGTGGAATTATACTATCGAAGGTCAATTCATCGAAATATATAATGATCAAATCTATGATTTGCTTATCTCACATGGAGAATCCAAAGATGTGAAGATAACACATGACATTGAAGAGGGTTCAACAAGGATTGCTAATGTGAAAACAGGTAAAAAAGAAAGAAGAGTCATTTAAAATAATGATGATGGTGATGATGATAAATAATTTTATTATTATTATTATTTAGTGAACCTTGAATCACCAGATTGTGTTAATCAAGTACTTAGATTCGCAACAAAGAACCGAACTGTTGCTTCTACAAAAATGAACGATAATTCTTCAAGAAGTCACAGCATATTTATGATTCATATCAAAGGTTCTAATTCTGTTACAAATGAGAAACTATCGGGTTCCTTGAACCTTATTGACCTGGCAGGTTCAGAGAAAATATCAGCTTACGAATCAACTGGAGATCTTCAAGTTGAAACGATAAATATTAACAAGAGTCTCAGCAGTCTAAAAACAGTTATACAAAACATAAAGGAAAATGCGAGCCATATCAATTACCGTGACTCCACCTTGACCTATGTTTTGAAGAATTCATTAGGTGAACCATTATTGTTATGTTGTATATGGATTTTTTTTAAACTTGTTTTTATTTATATCAATAATAATAATAATAATATATAAATATATGTATGTGTATATATGTATATTATACATATGTAGGTGGAAATTCCAAGGTGTTGGTGTTAGTTAATATTTCCCCGGTAAGATCATCTCAAGCGGATACTGAAAACAGTTTAGAATTTGGGCTTATTGCAAAAGCAGCTCACATCGGCATCGCAAAAAAAGGTTAAAACTTAATAATAACAATAATATTATTGTATTATTGCATCTCAAGTTTCTATTTAATTTCTAACATTATTAAAAAAAGTAAAATTAAAAGATAGATATATATTACTAGCATTAATATTGCATCATTATTAATTTCTTTTTATTTGTATTAAAATTTAAATTTAATCTATATTTTCTTTATTTGAGCGTCGAAGGAAAAACTATTTACAATATTATATAATAATCATAATCATAATCATAATAATTATAATTACTATCACTATTACGGTAAAGAAATCATTCTTTTAAAAAATAATTACATAAAAAAAGAACAATAATTAAAAAATTTACAAATATTCTTCAACTTTTGTTATAAATAATTAAATCTTATTGTAATCTTGATCGATTATCATATTTATAACTATTTCCTGGGTAAGTTGGATTTGGAGATGAATGACGAGTTTGGTGAATGAATTAAACATGACGGATAAGATGATTGATGCAGTTGATTTGAAGGTTGATGTGTTTGGTATGATTGACATAATGATGTAAATGAGTTTCATATAAGGTTTCCGGTCAAAACTGTTTTCTCAAAGCCCAAACTAGTTTGGGCAATTTGGGCTTCTCAATATTTTTTATAAACATGAACATTAAAAAACTATACCAATCAACTTATTTTAACTTAAACAACTTTAAAGTAATTTCACCCAATTCGGCTAATAACAAAAAATAGTTTGGGCTTATAAAAAAGTAATTTGGCAATCAGCTATTAATAAAGAGAGTTTGGCTGGAAACCTTAGTTCACATTATCAACTAAATGCAAGAGAATAGAGAGTAAAAATGAAACACAACTAAATTGATTTCCTACCTATTGAAATCTTTGTAATTATAATTTATTGTCATCATACATTTGCTTTAGTGTTATTAACACTATTATTGTTATTATAGTTTATTGAAAGATAATATAACAGTTGATTCATAATGAGCAGACATATTAAAAGTCATTATATCAAGAGGGAAATTTCTATTCATTAGCACCAACTGTATCATATGGAATTTATATTTTCTGTATTGGTATGCTTCTCATAAATCACATATGTATTCCATATGTTCTCTACATTAATATGACTTTGATGACTGGCCACAGGTAGGATTTCTATTTAAATAAGATTTATTTGAATGATTCATAATTAACTTTGAGCATTTGAATCACAATGAATGATTATTCAAATCAAACAAATCAAATGAACTCCTATGTGCTTTACAAAAGATCAAATTGTCAAATATTATAACTCATAGTTATGACACAGCTATGCTATAACTATGTTGTAACTTTTGGAATGATTTTCTGTATGCCATAACTGCTTATCTTTTATTTTAACCTGAATTAGGTAATCAAAAATAATTTAGGTACAGTCAAACACTATAATCAAATTTTGTCATAAAATTTGTTTCACATATAATAACATATTAAATCTGTTGTGGAAAGATTAGTAATTATAATCTTGCCACAACAGATTTTTAAATAAAATTTTCCTATTGTTATGTGCCCTGTTCATCTGCTGTGACAAGGTTTGACTGTAACCTTACTAAGTGATCATATGACATAACCTCAGGTGTTTCATATGTATGCACTCTTAGTTTCAAGGTGAGTGCTAAAAAAAATCAATTAAAAAAATAAGTTCAAAAGTCAAAAGCTTGCTAGAAGTTGTGTTTTGTACAGTAACAGTAAATCCAAACCAAAAGATGACAGCTGAAAATATGCACAAAGGACTTTTGAATGTGTAGAATACAGAGGGCCTGATTCACTAGAAAAACAAATGGTATTGTTCACTTTGGATTTATTTATGTCCAATAAAAATAAAGAAAAAATATTTTAAAACGTAAATTTGACTAGTTTTTTAATTCGAATCTGTGGGAAAGCCAAAGTAAAGTCTTTTTTAGATGGTTTGTTGCATAATTTGCATAATCGTACTACACAAATTTAATCTGCTTTAGAGATGTGATCCATGGATGATCAATCTGGATATCTCTCTTTAACTTATTTGCAACATGGACAATGATAATTATAATAATAATTATAGTGATAATATGAACCTACAGTCAAACCCTCATTTCAATGAATTTTATATTTAATAAACTATACAATGAATAATAAGTACCAATCACATTATAATGAATCCACATGATATAAATTTAAAAAATAAAAAAAAAGATGAATGCAAACAACAATAATAACAAAAACAAGATAACACAACATCATCAAATTCCAAAAAATCTATATAAATAAAGATTAAAATCTTTCTTCTATCAAATTCTTACAATCCTACACAATTAAAAAATTTCATGAATAAAACTCTTGAAAATGTCTCAACAACAATAATCATCATCCATTAAAAAACATGTATATATTTGATTTAAAATTATTTGTTTTTAATGTAATAATATAAATTTATTATAAAAATCATTTTTTTAATAAATGGCGCATAATTTGCGTAATCTACCATGCCGCACAAATCTGGAGTCTCTAGTCTTTTTATCATTAATCAAGTGGTGTGATACGCAAGGTTACTATATCTATTCCTCTTATGACATAATAGATCTGCGAAAAGTTTTTCCTAAATCTTTATTAAATCCAATAGGGTCGGGTTTTTCCAGGACCATATACAAATTTGGTATTTGTATAATCTTGTACGTTAAAAACAAAAACACTAAATTTTTAATTTTTAATTTCTTAAGATTTCTTTTTAACATTTAATACTTTGGAAGTAAACAATGGAGCAAATAAAGTAAATAGAAAAAAATAAAAATATTATTTTTATTTTATTCTAATTATACTATTCAAAAAAAAAAAAAGAAGCATTAACAAAATGGTTTTATTGTTACCAAAATTTTTGATAATTTTTATATCAATAATTGCTTTATTAATAACAATAACAGTAGTATCATTATTGTCTCTTCCAAAGCTTGGATTAATACCAGAAAAGAAACAACTTACCGGATATTTTTTACACATTACAGATTTTCACCCTGATGCTTATTATGAACCAAATGCTATAGTAAAATCAAGATGTCATCAAAGATTATCAGAGCTTAAAAGACCTGTTTATATGAAAAAAGGTATTTCTGGTCCTTGGGGTGCTGAAGCGACCATATGTGATTCTCCGATCAGTTTAATTAATGCCACTTTTGAGTGGTTGGAAAAAAATTGGAAAAATAAGTTGGATTTTGTTATTTGGACTGGTGATAATTCCAGGTATGTTGTTGTTGTTATCATTAATAAAATTTTTAAATTTTAAATTTGAATGATTTTTATTTATTTTGATAATTAGACATGATAATGATAATAATATTCCACGTACACCAAAAGAAATGTATGATTCAAATCGATTCATAACAAATAAATTTCTTGAAACTTTTACAAAAACTACATATACAAAAAAACATCATCCTCTTCTTAAAACTATACCAATAGTTCCTTCCATTGGCAATAATGATCTTAATCCAAATAATATTATTCCTCGTGGCCCAAATGACATCCTCACAAATCTTCACGAAACTTGGTCGCAATTCATACCAAAAGGTCAACATCAATATTTCCTTAGAGGAGGATATTTCTATACTGAAGTTATACCTGGAAAACTCATTGTTGTCTCTTTAAATACCTTGTATTTTTATAAATCAAATACTGCCGTTAATGGTTGTAAAGTTAGGACTCAACCTGGCACTATTCAATTTAGATGGTTGAACAAAGTTCTTAAAAAAGCTAGAAAACATGGGTTGAAGGTTTATTTAACAGGCCATATTGCACCAAGAAGAAATCAATACATACTAACATGTTATAAAAAATATGGAAAATTGGCAATTAAATATCATGACCTTATTCTGGGTCATTATTACGGACATTCAAACATGGATCATTTCTTTTTTATTGGCTCTAAAAATAAGTATAGAAAAATGAAAATTGATGATTTTGATGATATTGAGCATGATAATGATGAGGATGATAATGCCGATGCTGAAGACATTAGTTTGAATAATGGAATTATAAAAAATAGTAGTGGTGATTCATCTATTTTATCACACAAATCACAAACAACCAATCAATTGAATTTCCAATCATCGCAAACAAATATTAATGATGATGAAAACAAACAATTTCATACTAAAGTTTATAATGTTGACAAGTATCTAGGAAAATTATATTCTCACTACAGAGCTGTTCCGCGATTAACAGAAGCTGTAACAAAACAATATGCTGTCATTCATATTAATCCTTCCATAATTCCAACATTTTTTCCTGCTCTTAGAATTTTTCAATATAACATTACTGAACCATCACCATCACAATCATCTATAGATGATGATTATGACAATGACGATGATGACGATGATTATGATGTTGAAGATGATGACGATGATGTTGACGATGACGATTATGATGATTCAAGCTCACCTGCACATTCAAATACATTTCTAACCCCGTTAGGTTACACGCAATATTTCATTAATCTTACAGAAGCCAACCAATATCCAAATATCACACCAGAATTTAAAATCGAATATACTACTTGGGATGATTATAATATGAAAGACTTAACTGTTCCAAGCTGGATTCACTTGGCCAGAAAGGTTGCTAACCATGGCCTAAAAGGTTCAATATGGGAAAAAATTAGGGAACATTTGATGGTTGGTGCAAGGTCAATAATTGAGCAACGTAAATCAAAATGTAATCATTCTAGATGCATATCTAAAGGTCCTGAAGATTACATTATTAACGATTTAATAATATAATTTATATAGACTGTAATTTTAATAATAATATTTTTTTTTCTTCTTACAATTGCATATAACACAATGTATTTTTATATCATTATAATTAACATTATTATTATTATTTATTATAATAATAATAATTCACAAAAAAAAAATTTTTTCAAGGGCTAAATTATTAAAACAAAAATAAATTAATTTTTTTTGTAAAACCTATAAAAGCCAACTACGTGATATTTTTAATAATAGTAGTTTACTTTGATTCTGGTTCTTATTTTATTGATCATTTTGATTTATACCAGAAGATTTAACAACAATTGTTTGACAAAAAGACTGGTTGAATTCAGATTTTTCATTTAGTGAAAAAATTCATGAACTACACAAAGAAGGAAAGGAAATTGTTGCCTCCAAAATAAAGAGCTTTTACCGACAAAAAACAAATACTAGGCGATTCAAGAATGGATTAATAAAGGAAAGAAAAGATTGAAGATAATGACAACGAGCAAAAAAAAGAAGATACTAATACTAGTAATAGTAATATAATTGATAATAATAATCTAATAGCAAAAGTTAGATTTTTGTCAGAGTGCTCAAAGAAATAGGCAATACTCGCAAATGATTTTGGGCCGAGTATTTTCCTCGCTCTGTGTGTTAGTTGAATTAAAACTTTCCTTTTTACTATTGGTCAAATCATTATTAGAACCAGGGTAAAAAATATAGTACAGGGTAGATTTGGATTTGTTGAATGAATGAATTAAAGATATATTAGATGTAATTATGTGGATAAAACTGATCTGTTTCAATAAAGTATTTTTCTTTTATATTCCAACAAACTGGGTTGTAAACACCTATTAATTCACCGGCTTCTTTGATTTTCACAATTACAGTGCAAGCATGTGTCTGAGATTTCAATCTTAAACTCATTCTCGCTAACTAGATTTTCTCATTAGCCTTCGGCATACATTACAGCTAACCTCTGTACTTAAAACAAATATAATTACAAGAAATATTTACAACTATACTACTTGAGGCGTTCCTTCAGCAATATAGTAAATTTAAAAGGGTACCTAAAGGTTGGATGACCTTGCAACTATCCAACAATTAAAAATGTGTTTATTTTATTATTAATTAGTTATATGATATGTTTTTTTTAACTCTAGTGAATTCAAGGCATTTAGCATTTCACGATTGTAAAAATAACATACTTTTATGGCTAATTGTAAAGGGCTCCAGACATTTTTGTCTCTAATAGCAAAAATACTTCTTGATACAAATAAAAAATATTAGAGAGATTTTGAATTTTAACAAATAAATTAATTGACGATCCGTCTATGAATGAGTGAGTCCAATCTGATAACTTTGCGCGAAAAGTTGTATTATACTTTTGTTCCACTACATATTTTCTTTTACAATATATATGTGTGAAAATCTCAAATATTATTGATATATATATATATATATATATATATATAATTTTTTTGTTCATTGTATTTAAAGGAAAAAAGCTTATAATAGGGGATGTAGAATTTTGGTCCTATTGATATATAAAAACAATATTTAGCCATACCTTTTGATCATTGGGAATGAAAATTTGATTGATTTAATTGGTCAACTTCAATTTCGTCAATTTCGTCAAATATGACTAAATTAACAACGGTTTGATGAAATGATTCTCGCCCTGCAAAATATTTCATCAACCATTCTTAATAAGCATCATAGTAAAAATTAATTAGTGACCATAGCATAATATTTTATATGTAGTTTGGTCCAAAATCAAATATTATTGGCTAAAATTATGCAGATCTTTCATTGAAAAAATGATTTTTTATTTTTTTTTATAGGAAGAAAAACTTGGCGAGAGCTTTATTAAACAGTAATACAACTTCCAAAATTATGTAACATGTGTTTTTAACCATTTTACGAGCCTACCAAAAAATACTCAATAGTTTCAAATTATAATCAGAAAAATGGACGTCCAGGCTTAGTAAAGTCTAACATTCTTCCGAAACATCTCAAATTGCAACTTCTTAGTCGCAGACACCACTTTACACACCTCGATAATTCTTAGTTTAAATATAGCTGTTTTGCCAATTTTTGACCTGTGATAGTTTATTAACCTATTAAAATTAATAAAATAATATCATTAACAATTGATAAATAAATTTCCCCTCTATTATATAATATGTAACGGTTACTTTGTAATTATTGTTAGTTTTTCTGATATAATGTACTATAAAAAGCTTAATCTATTTGTTTCAAAATGCAACACGAGCTGGACATGATTTTGAAATTAAAGTTATTGAAATCCGTCGTGAGACAGAAGTTAGCAATAAAATCACTAAAACTAAATTTCATAATAATAGTAATGATGATAGTAATCGATTTTCTACCCCTGTGGAAAGTCATGAATTTATTACGTTACGTAGTTTTAGAGTTGTATGGTACAAGACACCTAATCCCGCAATCTATTGCGCCTCAGCGACAGGTTTGAGAAAAAATTTACAATCAAAAATGCAATAAAATTTTTATTGTCATGTGATTTTCAGTAATCTGTGATGTCACGTGACCACGGCCTTTACATGGCCTTTTCTCAATATTGAGTGTGTTAAATTCTTTTGCTCTAGAAACATGGATGATGCAATTTAATAAATTTTTAGTTCTAAAAAAATAATGATGAAGGAATTATGTCTAGTAATACATATACTAAAGTGAATACTAAAAGTGATTCACTCTTTAATATACACTTCCTGGTCATAAATATAAGGACACTTGCAGATCATCAGAAATAATTGAATAAAGAAGCATGAAAAAAAATAAAAATTTTATTAACCTAACCGCATTTGCTTATTAAGTAAAAATTCATCTTCATATCAAATAGT